TTTTTTTACAATTCACATTGTCCATTCCCTGATCAAAAGACTAACTTTGCTTTCTCTTAGTAGTCCATTAAATTATAAAATAGGTGCAGATTGCCTTGTCTAATGCAGTCATTCTCATTGTGGTCCTCAATCAGCGGCATTAAGATCACCTGGGAACTGTTAGCAGTGTAAAATTTCAGGCCCTACCCAGACTTTTCCACTTAGAAACTGGAACATAAATCCAGCAGGCTATGGTTTAACAAGCACTCCAGGTGATTGCGATAAACTAAAGTTTGAGAACCACTAGTCTGAACTATATTTTAGACCAGAAGGAACTCAACTGTACAATATAGAGTGATGCTTCTATAGACTAATTCACATCTTGCTAGATTGTGGTATCACAAATAGAAATACCAGATAAACTAGTTCTGAAAGAGTTTGAATGTTATTAAAGGTACAGATGTAGCCAGTGGATGAACTGAGAATAGTAGAATATCTCATTTGAAAGAAAAAGGAAGGAATTTGATCTAAACCTTGGGGCACCTGGGTAGCTCAGTCAGTTGGGTGTCTGACTCTTGACTTCGGTTCAAGTCATGGTCTCCTGGTTCATGGGATTGAGCCCTGTGTCAGGCTGTCAGTGCTGTCAGCTTGGAGCCTGCTTGGAATTGTCTCCCTCTCTCTCTGTCCCTCCCCTACTTGTGCACGCATATGCATGCAGTCTCTCAAAATATTTTTTAAAAATTGAACTAAACCTTTATTAGATGAGTTGTCATTGCCATCTTACCTATACAGCAGAATGTATGGAATATAGCAAGAGTAGCTAGCAGGTAATTGCCCTAAGATAGGTAAACTGAAAAAGTACCAAGAAACAGATCGTTAACATATGCAAACTCAGGAGTAAGATCTTCAGTCAATTAGAGTTAGCATTTACTAAAGAACTTGACTCTTAAATCACTTCGTCTACTTCTTAAAGAGTATAGTCATATTTGCCACTGATCTAGGTTAATGTCTTCCTTTTTTGTCAAGTACTTTAGTTGTTGAAGTAGCCATGTAAAAATCACTTGACTAGAGGGGCGCCTGGGTGGCGCAGTCGGTTAAGCGTCCGACTTCAGCCAGGTCACGATCTCGCCGTCCGGGAGGGAGTTCGAGCCCCGCGTCAGGCCCTGGGCTGATGGCCCAGAGCCTGGAGCCTGTTTCCGATTCTGTGTCTCCCTCTCTCTCTGCCCCTCCCCCGTTCATGCTCTGTCTCTCTCTGTCCCAAAAATAAATAAACGTTGAAAAAAAAAATTAAAAAAAAAAAATCACTTGACTAGAGAAGAAGCAATGTTTAAATCTCTTTGCAGGTACCAGCAACTTCAAGGTTTCTGCCAGTCCACTGTTGTATTCGCTTATTGAGAAGATGATGAAAGATGTGAGTGTATACCTAATTACAAAATCTATAACTTAATTTTCTCATTTACATAAAGTGAAAAGCATTGATGTTTAAACAATCATCATAAATAACCAAGTACAGGAATTTAGAATAAATTCTATAGTAGCATTATTTAGGTCATGCTCTTAGCTTATTTGCTCTCAGTCTATTGAACTGTGTGAGGTGAGGGTAAACTGCCTACTGGGGGTTGTCTACAGAGTCCTAATGCTAAGGAAGCTTTAAATTTTTTTTTTTAATGTTTATTTATTTTTGAGACAGAGAGAGACAGAGCATGAATGGGGGAGGGCCAGAGAGAGAGGGAGACACAGATTCTGAAGCAGGCTCCAGGCTCTGAGCTGCCAGCACAGAGCCTGACGCGGGGCTCGAACTCATGGACTGTGAGATCATGACCTGAGCCAAAGTCGGATGCTTAACCGACTGAGCCACCCAGGTGCATGGAAGCTTTAAATGAACTTGAGAATGCCTAGCTGGCTCAGTTGGTAGAGCATGTGACCCTTGATCTCGGGATTGTGAGTTTAAGCCCCATGTTGGGTATGGCTTTAATTTTAAAAAATTAAAAATATGGGGCACCTGGGTGGCTCAGTTGGTTAAGTGACTGATTTCAGCTCAGGTCGTGATCTAACAGTTTGTGAATTTGAGCCCCACGTCAGACTCTGTGCTGACAGCTCAGAGCTTAGAGCCTGCTTCAGATTCTGTGTCTCCCTCTCTCTGCCCCTCCCCCCACTTGAGCTCTGTCTCTCTCTCAAAAATAAATATTTAAAAAATTAATGAACTATACCTAATACTTAAATAAGAAGGCCAGATGAAATATTCACTGGGTAAAAACAAACATGCAAATGACCATGGTTTTGCAATAGGAAGGAATAAGATTTGGCTAATGGGCTTAGAGGCCATATATTGGAATCATTAAAGATGGAGGAAACAAGGGTCAGGAACTTGGCCTTGATCCTATGGGAAACTAGGAATTGCTATCGAGTTTCCAGCAAGGCAGTAATGTGCAGATTAGGCTGCAGTAGTATAAAATGTGCTAGAAGGAAAAAGCCAGAAATAAGGTAGGCATCGTGAAGGCTAGAAAGGGCTTTTAAAACTGTGCCACCTTTAAAATGGTTAAAGGAGGAAAACATTTTTTCTCTTGCTGTAACTAAAGGAACTGGCAGCATGAGCGTAGGAGGAATAACTTTAGAAATTGGAGATTGTTTTAGCTGTCTTAAATTTTTTTCAAGAAGAAACAATAAAAATTTTTTTTATAACTGTTTACAGATCGAAGTATGTTTGTGACTAGCCTGAATGACTGTGTGCAGAAAGATTCATTTTAGTGACAAATTAATTTTTCCTTTTATAGGTGAAACACCCAGTTACTGGGCAGTCTCTTTATCGGGACAGCAATTGGATCAACAAAGTGTAAGTGGAGAAAAGTGAATGAACAACTAGTAGAAAAGCAGAATCATCCAGTAGCCCCTGCTATGTTAGGTAGAGATCTAAACCTATCCTTGCAGTGAGCTTACCACCTATACAGTCATTTTAAGAATTTATTTGGGGATAGGGGTAGGGTTGCATGATAGCACAGGCTGTTCTTCAGAAAACCTAGAGACACATTCTTGCTTTCCTTGCAGTGAGAAATTTTCTTTGGATAATGCTGCTTTCCCTTTCCTTGCGTATTCTGGAATCCCAGCAGTTTCTTTCTGTTTTTGTGAGGTAAGTATGAAGAACTCTCAAGTTATATCTTAGCCCTTTCATCAGTTTTGAGACCAAATTTCCTAAAGTACTTGAAATGTTGTCAGAAGTTATACACCTGCAGTTATTACATGCTCCCTTATTATCAGTCTTAACGTGGAATTATTCTCAGCTTAATTAGCATTGGAATTTATTTGCTAAACCATCTTCACTTAGGTATGATGAGTTTTAATAACAAGGCTACCTACTGGACAGTGTGGGTATAGACTATTTCCACCAAATAGAAAGTTCAGCTGGACATTGCTGTTCTTGATACCTGTCGAAATACGGTTCTAGACGTTTGTCCAAAGATGTTAATCTCCTAAACCAGGTACAAGGTTGTTGTGACACAGAACTTTGAACTGACCAAGTTGTAGGAAAGCAAGATAGGCTTGTTTCAGGAGTCGTCAGAAGGCCCTGAAAGCCACGATGAGTAAACAAAATGATGAAGGCTTCTGCGCTGAAGCTGGAAAGCCAGCCCTGTAGTGGGCTTTCCCAGGGCTAAAGAGATCTAGAGTTAATGTAGGAGGTCAGGGTGGAAGCTGTTGACTTTAGCATCAAATTATTGATGCTCTGGAGGCCAGGTCCTCACAAGACTTCTTATCACTAAGTGTTTTGGCCTGGAACTAGGAGGGGAAAGGTTTGGAGCTAGGGAGTGATGTAAGATCTGGATTCAGAGATTAACATAGGTGGAACTCCCTTCACCTTCTGCTAGAACAGCAGTATGGATGGCATTGAAATAGCTGGTCACAGTATCTATTTAGTACATTAGGAAGAACTGGATGTCAGGTGCTACCGTTGTGGAGGTTTATGGATGATTTCTTTTGACCTCCAGAAGGTTTCTTAAAAACTTCTCAGATGTCAAAAACCTAGCAGGTAATACAGAAGTGTATAGTCTGAAAGTGAATAATTGAGGTCAGATCAAAGGATTGGCAGTGAAATTGTCACCAAGGACAAAGATAGGGAATAGAGTTGAAAAAGTAGTTACTTAAATTGTCTAATCAAGGTGGAGAGAAGTTGTGAGCATCAGACATGTTTGTTAGAAAGGTAACATGTATGAATGGATCGAGTGCTGAATCATTAGGAAGAAGGTAAATTCAGGTCTAAGCGTGATGCTTTATATCAAAAGCACACTTCATACATGCTCTCTTCTTTCCTTATTTAATGAACCAAACTTCCCAGAGAAGAAAACAAGGATACAACCTCAAGAAATTCGGCTAGAAATCTTTTCAGGGTCTATGATGTGATGGGACAAAGATTCTATAGAATCTAGAAGAAAGTAGTCATTCAAGGAGTAGGTCAGATTCAGAGGAAATAACAGTGATATTAAAGTAGTGGATGTGAGATAAAATTGGAGTAGGTATGTATTAGAAGCAAGGGATGAATTGCAACTGTTATCACCTTGAAGGGAAAATGAATGTGAAGTTCCTACTCTTATGACCCTCCTGTGAGTACATTAACCTAGCTTTGTTTTTCAGGACACAGATTATCCTTATTTGGGTACTACCATGGATGTCTATGAGAAACTCATTCAGAAAGTTCCTCAGTTGAACAAAATGGCACGTGCAGCAGCAGAAGTAGCTGGTCAGCTTATAATGAAACTTACCTATGATCTTGAATTGAACCTGAACTATGAGATGTATAATGACAAAATACTTTCATTTGTGAGGGATGTGAGCCGATTCAGAGCAGACATAAAAGTAAGTACTAATTAAAATCAGGTTCTTGTTGCTGAAATATCAAGCAATTATGATGTTTAGCTATTCCTGAGAAAGGACATGATGGGTAGCCAAAGTACATTTTAAGGGAACTGATATATCATTTTTCTTAGATTTTTAACTCATTTGAAAGTTGAGAGGTTGTGGGTTATAAATCTAGGATATACCACACTAGGTATTTCAGAGTCTAGAACTATGTTCACTTTTGTTAAGGTATGTTAAGTTTTTGTAATTCCAAGCAACCTGTGAAGAGAATCCAGAGAATACAAAGATCTCAACCATGACTTTGAAACTATGAGTTTGGGCCATATATCATATATGCCTTTCAGGGATGTCACGGCTAGAGAGATAACACAGTCAGTAATTACAGTCCTACTTAGTGTTCATCCTACGTGCCTAGTATTCAAATACTTGATAAAACCAAATTAATAATGGGGCACCTGGTTGACTCAGTTGGTAGAGTGTGTGCCTTGATCTCAGGGTTGTAAGTTCGAGCCTCACGTTGGGTGTAGAGATTACTTAAAAATAGAATCTTTTAAAAAATCAAATTAGTATTAATATGTGGCTTCTAACTGGTTTTATGGTACTAGAAGTCACTTTTAACAGAGATCCCTTAAATGAAGCAAATCACTGATAAACAAATCTTAATGATTATGGCTTTCTTGAAACTTGAAACTAATTGTAACTGATCAGAAAGTGGGAATTGTGAGACAGATCACTAGACTCTGAAGTTCACTGAACCAAAATGTTTTCAAATTTTCCCCCATAGGGAAATTGAACTGGAAACAATATACTACACAGGATTATATATTAAGTTAATTATGTTAAATTTCTCCAGGAGGACGGCTTCCTTATGAGACTAGGAGTGGAAAATTGTGCCATCTCTTGGGCTCAAATATGAGCATACCACTCTATAGAGCTTGGGGCCTCCTGGGCAAGCTGCCTAAGTCTACCATTCTCTGCATCTTGAGCTTGTCCACAAGCCACCCCCTTTTACCAGAACCAACTCCCTTGCTATCACTAAATTAGAAAGGTATATAGTATAACATCCTTAGAAATACAACATCTACTAAAGAACGTAATGTCTCTCTGCTTCAGGAGATGGGTCTGAATCTACAGTGGCTGTATTCTGCTCGTGGAGACTTTTTCCGTGCCACCTCCAGACTGACAACAGATTATAGGAATGCTGAGAGAACAAACAGATTTATCATGAGGGACATCAATGACCGTATCATGAGAGTAAGTAAACTCCTAAAAATGGAAGAACTAAAGATTGTTAATTTTTAACTGGTGGGCCTTGCATTTCTAAAAAGCAGAGTAGTAACTCCAGGAGCCTAGCATCATTTGCTGCTTTAGAACTGAGCACAGATTTTTAACTCTTACTTATTAGCAAGATCTAGAACCAATATATCTAAACTGGAAGTCCAAGAGACATTTGTCCCAGTATTAACCTTTTTTAAGTTTTAAGAAACATTTTTAAGAAGGAATCATTAATGATTTTTAGCTATCATTTTCTCTGTATTCCTCTTCTCTAATTCAGCCCTTAACTGCTTCTATCTTAATCTGCCTGGAAGAGGCAGAAGACTCGATTACAGTAGAAGCTTGTAAATTTTCCATGTATATGCTTCAACTAAAAAAAACCAATATAATTAGAGTGCACTTTTACAAAAGGATTGACTATACAAAAGGATTGATTGATTATAGTTTTAATGTTAGAAGATAAGTAGCCTGGTTCTCCACATTGCTAAATTGGGGGAATTTTCACATTTCAAGTGAGAAAATGGCCGTTGTTTTACTGTGTCAGGCCCTTACACCAAAAGTCCCAGCACGGTGTAAGTTCTCATGTATGTTTTGTTTCCGTAGGTGGAATATCACTTCCTTTCACCCTATGTATCTCCGAGAGAGTCTCCTTTCCGACATATCTTTTGGGGCACTGGCTCTCACACTCTGTCAGCATTACTAGAGCATCTGAAGCTGCGCCAGGAAAACATCAGTGCTTTTAATGAAACACTGTTTAGAAACCAGTTGGCTCTAACAACTTGGACTATTCAAGGGGCTGCAAATGCCCTCTCTGGTGACATTTGGGACATTGACAATGAGCTTTAAATGTGGTACCCATAACTTATATGAGAACAGCAGGGTAGTGTGATTTTTAGACTTGTGCTGGTTGTGCTAAATTTTTAGTAGGGCTACAAAACCTAATATTGTTAAAATTCTACCCAGCCATCTTGGTACCACTAGATTTCTTTAGGCAGCAGCTTTTAATACAGGGTAGGTACCTGCACTTCAAGTTAAAGTGAATAACCACTTAAAAATGTTCATGATAGAATCTTTTCTCTGATTATCTCTAAAATTTTAAATGTGTTGTATGGTAACTGCCTCTTTCTTGTTAGAGTTATGACAAAGTCAGAACCAGTTACGTAAACTATTGCTCTAAATCCTAAGGACATGAACCGGTATCTTCTAAGTGCGAGGGAGGTGGTGTCTCCTGGACGCTGGAAGTGGTAGCTTAGTGGGATCCTCCACCTGCACTTGATGCTGGATAGGAGATACCAGGTTGTAAGACTTTATTCTCCAAATGAGATCTATGCCTTCCGTAAGGATTTAGCTGGTTTCCACATCCCTGAATGAAACAGTTAACTTTCAGAAGAGATGGGACTTGTTTTCTTGCCAGTGAGGTCTGAAACAGAGGTCCTTCCGCTGGATAAAGTGAGGTTCAACTGTTTATCACAGGAGTAAGGCCTTAATGTGTTAACCTCAAGATTATTTATGAAAAGAGGAGACCAGAAGCCAAAGACCTAGATTTTCTTTTCCTCTGCCCCTGCCCCATAAGCCTTTGTATTAGTTTTTTGTCGTCTTTGTGTTTCCCAAAGTATTTTGAAAGAAAACCAGCTTTAGGTGTTTAATTTCAAACTCAGTTTGTCAGACTTTAAAGAACACGCTGCCAAATTTTGGCCAAAGTGTTAATTTTTTGGAAAAGCTTTCTATCATTTTGGCACTGAGATATTTATTGTTTATTTATCAGTGACAGAGTTCACTATAAATGGTGTTTTTTTTATAGAAGATAATTATCGGAAGCAGTGCCTTCCATAATTATGACAGTTATACTGTCGTTTTTTTTTTAATAAAAGCAGCATCTGCTAATAAAACCCAACAGATACTGGAAGTTTTGCATTTATGGTCAACACTTGAGGGTTTTAAAAAACGGCCACACGCCAAATAAAATTATAAAGCTAAATATTGGTGAAGAATTCAATTGAATTAGGAGTTGCTAATCAAGTTAGAATTTTAGTCAACCAGATAAAAATGGCAGTTCTTAAAGGGAAGGAATTGTGACCAAGTTATACATTAATGTCACTTAAAGGCTGTGATACTCATACATGTGAAATTTTACGGCTCAATTTATCCAAGGTGTAACTTTAATTCGAATTTTGCAAAATTTCCAGTACCTTTGTCACAAACGTAACTCACATTATCGGGAGCAGTGTCTTCCATAATGTATAAAGAACAAGGTAGTTTTTGCCTACCACAGTGTCTATATCGGAGACAGTGATCTCCATATGTTACACTAAGGGTGTACGTAATTATCGGGAACAGTGTTTCCCATAATTTTCTTCATGCAATGACATCTTCAAAGCTTGAAGATCGTTAGTATCTAACATGTATTCCCAGCTCCCTATAATTCTCTTTTAGTTTTAGTTGCAGAAACATTTTATGGTCATTAAACATTTGGTGGGTGAATTCAACCACTATAAAATAAAATTACTTCATTCGAGAGTCTTTGTTTTTAAACCTAATGTAGTGTTTTATTATATTTGTGGTTTCTCCAGGTCTTCTGTTTAGTGGGATGGTAGTCCACATTTACAATGTTTGCTGTTGACAAATGAATTTAACTTTATCCCCTTATTTGCATGTCATGTCCTGGAAACTTAGTTCACACAAGTTTATATCCAGAATTGATCTTTTAGCTTAAATCAGGGGAAACTTGTATAGGAGACTCAGGGGGCTGGGGGAGTGAAATGTGTAGGGAAGCAAAGCTTGCAAAAGGATCCTTGATCATGTCTCCCTACCCGTTAGTATATGGTGGTTTTAAGTTAAACAGAGATGTGAACAAATAAGTTTGAAGCTACATGAGTAAAGACTTTATTTTCTAGTCCATCATCATTATAAACCTGATAATCAGTTGTTTGTTATAGGGCAGTTCACCCTAAGAAACTGCCACCTAAGAAAAAGTCCATAGACTTAACGTCCCTTACCGAAGTTAACATAGGTCTAGATTATTACAGCCTCACTGAATTGTTTCACTGCTCATGGTCTATTTAGTCTTCACGGTGTTTTATCTTGAACTGGTGTTTAGTGTAGCTAAGTGGAAAGGTCATAGCTGGGATTCCTGGTTTGGGTATCATGCTTTACCACACTTTAATGAAAGCTCAGTAACTTCAAGACATACTATGAATATGGGCATACATTTTACAGCAGTAGATCTCTTCAAATACCTCTTTTCTGTAGTGAGGATTGAGTTATTTCTAATCAAAAAAGCCAGTAAGTGGTAAGAGGCGTAATATTTCTGAATGAAATGTGTATCTGACTAGTGACAACCTGCTGGACTTCAGATTTTGTCTGGTTATAGATATCAGGTGCATTTTGAAGGTAAAGGATAAATGAGCTCTATCATGATTCACTATTCTAGAACTTGCATGACCTTTACTGTGTTTCCTCTTTGAATGTTCTTGAAATTTTAGTTGGCTAAACATGGCTTATTAGACTTGCCAACCTACTGCTCATCGATATCTTTGTAAACAAATGATATGCCCTTATAATTGTGTCCAAACTGGTATGTGCAACAGTGTGGAAATTCCTTATCTGATTTAATAAAATGCTTGAACACGGAGTTGTCATTTTTTAAAAAATAGATTATATTGTTTTAGGGCATTTTTGGGTTCACAGCAAAATTGAGCGGAAAGTGTAGAGTTCCCATATACTCTCTGCCTGCTCACCCGTGGCCCAGCTTCCCCCACTATCAGCATCTCCCAGCAGAGTAGTACACATGTTACAATTGAACATACATCGACATATCGTTATCGCTGAAAGCCTATAGTTTACATAAAGTCCACTCTCAGTGTTGTATATTTTGTGAGTTTGAACAAATCTATAATGAAACATATCCACCATTTATAATACAATACTGAATGGTTTTATTGTCTTGAAAATCGTCTGTTCTCTGCCTCTTCATCTTCCTCTGCCTGATCTCTGGCAACCACTGATCTTTTTACAGTCTGTAGTTTTTGCCTTTTCCAGAATGTCACGTGGTTAGAATCATACAGTAGGCAGCCTTTTCAGATTGGCTTCTTTCACTTAGTAATAATGCATTTAAGGCTTGATAGCTCACTTTTTTAAAAGTTTATTTATTTTGAAAGAGTGCGCACGCAAGATAGAGAATGAGTGGGGGAGGGGGAGAGATGGAGGGACAGAATCCTAAGCAGAATCCTAACCAAGCTCAAACTCACCAACAGATCATAACCTGAGCCTAGCAAGATCAAGAGTCAGATGCTTAACTGACTGAGCTACCCAGGTGCCCGATAGCTCACTTCTTCCTAGTGCTGAATTTTATTCCATTGTCTGGATGTAACTTAGTTTATTTATCCATTTATCTGGTGAAGGACCTCTTCATTGCTCCCAAATTTTGGCAACTATGAATAAAGCTGCTCTAAACAGTTTTTACGTGGGCAGGTTTTCAGTTCATTTGGGTAAAGACCAAGGAGTACAATTGCCGGATCACATGGAAATAGTATGCTTAGTTTTGTAAGAAATTTCCAAACTGTCTTCCAAAGTGGCTGTACGATGTGAATTCCTGTAGCAGTGAGTTCCTGTTGCTTCACATACTTGCCAGCATCTGGTGGTGTCCACTGTTTTGGATTTTGGCCATCCTAATAGGCGTGCGGTGATAATCTTGTTTTGATTTCCGTTTGTCCCATGACATGATGTTAAGCATCTTCGTATATGCTTATTTATCAGCGTATGTCTTTGGTGAGGTGTCTGTTCAAATCTTTTGCCCCTTTTTCTAGTTGGGTTGTTCATTTTATTGTTGAGTTTTAAGAATTCCTTGTATATTTTGGATAACCATACCATCATTTGTCAGATACATGTTTTGCAAACATTTTTTCCCCAGTCTATGGTTTGTCTTCTCATTCTCTTGACAATGTCTTTTACAGAGCATGAGTTTATAAATTTTAATGAGGTCCAACTTAATTATTTCCTTCGTGAATCATGCTTTTGGCATTTTATCTAAGTCACTGCCAAACCCAATGTCATCTAGATACTCTCCTGTGCTGTTTTTTAGTAGTTTTACAGTTTGGCATATTACATTCAGGTCTATGATCCATTTTGAATTCAGTTTTGTAAAGGGTATGTGGTCTGTGTCTAGATTCATTTTTTTGCATGTGGATGTCCAATTGGTCATGAGTTTTTGTTAAGAATACTCTAGTAAGACTCTCCCCTCTGAAAACATGAGCTAAGTAATTTTAAATGTCCTTAAAAAAAAAATTTAAAAAAAATTAAAAAAA